CTGCTCTGGGGTGTGAGGACAGGTTATTTGATGAGTAATTCCGTGAGCTGAGAGAAAAGATTTAAAAGAATGACTGGTGAATTCGCCGCCACCGTCAGAGCAGAAGAATTTTGGGGTTGTGTGAAATTGATTCCGAATTAAGGAGCAAAAATGACAGAATTTTGAGAAGGTTTCCCGTTTAGAATTCATTAGATATAACCACGAAAACTTTGAGAAATCATCGATAAATATCACGTAATATTTAAACCCTGTAAAAGATGGTTGGGGAGCCGGTCCCCAAACATCTGAATGAACAAGATAAAAGGCATGCGGAGAAGTAGTAAGATTTTTATTAAAAGGCAGTTTATGGCTTTTAGCCATATTACAAGAAATGCAAAGAAATTTATTCTGTATGCGGTCCAATTGAGGAATACTGGGACGAAGCTTCTCAAGAACCCCCTGATGCGGATGACCGAGTCGAGAATGCCAGAGAAGAGTTGGAGAATGTTGAACCAGCAGAGATGTTGTACGACTCGACGGGAATGGTGAGAGATGATAGAGCCCATTACGCATTTGACCATGAAGAAGAGGATGATTGTCCTGAATGTCCTTAATCACAAACCCGTTAGCATCAAAACAAATTGAAACTCGATTATCCGAAGTAAGTTTGGAAATGGAAATTAAATTGTGCTTTAAGGAGGGAACATGAAGTAAATAGTGAAGGTATATCTTACGAGCTGAGTCAGGTAGAGGAAGTATGCCTTGACCGGTATGATGGATCGGAACAGAGGATCCGTTTGCAACAGAGATTGTATCTTGCCCTTGATATGGTGAGTTGAGATGCAGATTTTGTAGATCCGGAGTGAGATGGATAGTGGCTCCGGAATCAAGAATCCAGTCCGATGTCGTGGTCGGAGACTGTTGCACCGTGAGAGCCTGCGAGGAGGAAGAAGATTGTGCTGGTGCATACCTGAGATTGCACCGATGCCAATAGTTCAGTGCAGTATGTCCCAGTTTGCTGCATATCTGACATGTGGGACGAGTGGTGTTCGTGGTGCCGGCATTAGGACGAGCAGAGGAGTTGTCACGTTGGCTGTTGTTACGATTCTTGAAGAATTTTTTAGAGCCTTTGCCACGGACAGAGGAGGTCCGATTGGTGTAGAGAGCGGAGTTTTCGCCAACAGCCGTAGCTTCCTTTTGAGATTCTTGCAAGAAGTTGATCTCTTCGCTAAGGAGAAGAGAGTAAAGGGTGTCGAGATCGATTGGTTGTAGAGAGGTACGAATAGCGATCTTGAAGGAGCTGTAAGAGGAGGGCAACCCATTTAGGATGTAGAGAACAATATCCTCGGTGTTTAGCGTGGAACCCGACGCCGCAATGTGATCCACAAGAGTCTTGATTTGAAGGAGATATTGTTGCATCGATGAATTCTTCATCTGAATGTTGTGGAGTTCGTTCTTGAGTTGTATAACTCGAGAGCGATTTGTCGATTGCATCCGGCGCTCAAGAATCGTCCAAACCTCATGGGAAGAGGTAGTAGAAAGAACATAGGGAAGTATGGCCGGAGATATGGTGGAAAAGAGGGCAGAGGTGAGGTTCCGATCAACGAGAAACCATTTGTGATGTTCGACTGAGTCGGAATCCTTAGGGCGGGAGATGTCACCGGAGAGGAAGCCGGAGAAGCCATTTGCGATGAAATGGTGTAGAAGTTGAAGCCTCCAGATGGGATAATTTTCCACAGACAGAGGATTAGGAATGATGTTCTTGATATTCGAAATTAAGAATTTGAGTGCAGCCGGAATTTGGAGATCGGTAGTGTACCCGGTGGCGGTAGGGGAGGAGGGAGGTTGCACGATGGATGAATCTTGATCAGCCATTATTGTGCTCTGATACCATGAAAGAAAGGAAGGGAGGAGAGAGCCGAAGACAACCAAACAGAGAGAAAGAACTAAAAGCAATATTATTAGATCATGAGAAAGTTACAGAATACAAGTATTTATAGATATATACAGAGTAGTATAATGAGGGAATGAGTCTAGGTTGCTGACGTGGAGTCTTCTTTATAGTAGAAAGCTATTTTAAAAAACAATAAGAAAGCAGTCCCAAATGAAACATACGGCTTTTTTATTATTTCTTAAATTTTTGTACTAAAACTCTATTTTAAAGCAATAAGAAAGCATTTATTTATAATTTTTTATCAAGATGTTGACAGTTTTATTTTTCTAATTCTTTCTAAAGCAGTTATTTAGTACCAAAAAAATTTAAACTAAATAAATTTGTAGTAGAAAGTTGCTTTAAAAAGTAGTAAGAAAACAGTCCCAAATGAAGCCTACGACTTTTTTATTGTTTCTTAAATTTTTGTACTAAATTCTGTTTTAAGAATCAATAAAAAAGCAGTCCCAAGTGAAACATAAATTAGAGTTTGGATAGTCTTAAATTAATTCTAGAAAGTTCTTATTTGAATTTTAATTTTAGATTAATGAATAATCAACCAAAATTTCTAGTGATGTATCAACTATATATATGGACAAAGTTTCACATCTTATAAGTTACCACACTTTTAACTAAATTTCAACTATGACTCATCATATTTATATGAACAAAATGCATACAAATTTTCTAAAGAACAAATTTTAAGAAGAAGTACGCTCAAAATTTAAATTATATGAAAAGCAAACTAGCCAAATTATTTAGTATTTTTCATTGAAAACGTCAAACAGTTTGGCTAATTCTAAAAAAGTCAAACTATTTGACATTTTCTATAAAATTAGCCAAACTGTTTGACTAATTCACCAAATAATTTGGCTAATCCTTACATAGTAAGTTATTTATTTATTTGGCTAATTCTATTGAATACCCATATCTTCACTAAGCATCATTAGCAATGTCATTAGCTGATTAAGGACATATTAAAAAAATTCAAAACTAGGTTAACATGTGATAAGCTCTTAGATTAACTAATCGTCCACTTAACGGGCCATTAGTTATTTCAAATTCATTAATTAATTGACAATTATTTTAATTTTAGGAAATAAAATGATGTTATTTTTTCTTTTTAGTTATTTCAAATTTATTACAAAATTTGCATAATTTTAAAATGAGAATTGACAAATTTAAAAGATACAAAGATGCGATCCTAATATTTTTTACTTTAAAAATCAAGGTTTTGAAAACCGGACCGGACAACGAACCAGATGAAGGAGAGGTTCACGTTCAACCGGTCGAACCGGAGTCGAACCGGATGACGTAATAAATAACAATATTATTAAAAAAAATTAAAATTAATGATTAATTTTCCTCTAATACATTCATTCTACATTCTATTTTCTATGTTGGCATAGAAATATATACAAAAAATCACATGAGGGAAATTATTGAAGCACATGAAACTATTGAGTTAAATCTCACATTAGTTATATGAAGAATACATTGGTATAGAAATACAAAAAATCATTGACCCTCCCACAAAACAAAATCATTGACCATGCTTTAGATAACATCCCGACATGAAAACCTACAGGACATTAACTTAGACTTTCAAACTCTAATTTGATTCAAAACTTCAAATAAACTAAACATGATCAAACAAAACCTATAGTCAAACCTTGTTTATAATATAAACTTAAACACAAAACACTCGTACTAAATCTAATCATCAACAAAATCCGTGAGATCAAAAGATGGATTCTCAAATTCTCCTTCACCAAAATCTTGCATCACAAATGCTTCTGCATTCTCACGTGGTATGTCATCTTCATCACATGTATTAGCTAAGTTGTGTTCATCTGCAAATCATTAATGTGAAATAATAAGTTTATATTTTATATTACACTCAGAAGATATAACTTATTTTACAATCTTACATGGGGTTTGTCCAGTTGATGGTATGTTTGGTTGTATATCTATAGAAATTGCATCATCTTTATAAATTTATGTCTCCAAATCTTCTAGATGCAAATCTGGAGTTGGCTCATCATCAAGGATCCAACAGTCAATAAGTTCAATACTTGTGTAGTCCAAAGGATCATAACTTCTTTTTCTAGACGGTAACCTACAAAATTGTTATAAAATTTTTGATAATAACATGTACATCATCATGTAAAAAGATATTTAGAATGTTCTCAAATAATACCTATTTTTTAAATTGAGATTGTAACGAACATATACTAAATCATTTAGCCTTTGGTGCTCAAGATGATTTCATCTTTTTATGAATCTGCTCAAACACACTCCAGTTCCTCTCACAGCCTGATGAAGATGATGTCTAGCTAAGAAGTCTAATAGCCAATTTCTGTAGGTTTGGTGCACTAGAGCCAAACATCTTCCACCATTCATCTACCAGCCTGATAAATGATTTCGGTTCAGGTTCAGGTTAGGGATTTCGATATTTGATCCGACTCGAACCCGACCAGAAAATTTCGGTTCAGGTTCAGGTTAGGGATTTCGACCCGTTTGTAAAATTGGGTCGGGTTCGGGTTAACCCGAAAATCCGAAATCAACCCGATTTGACTCGTTTTTAATTAATTTAAGAGGGTTTTAATGGATTTTTATAAAATAACTAAATGATATTTTAAAAAATTATAAACGTTATTGTCCAAATTAAATTAATTTTGATTTATTTTAAATTAATTGAAGTAAATCTTACCTTAATTTGATTTAAATTAAAATAAATTGAATTAAATTAAAAAAATTAATAAAATGTACCTGAATCGGGTCGGGTTCGGGTTCAGAAAACCGACCCGTTTGTAAAAATGGGTCAGGTTCGGATTGGGTTGAACAGTGTTGAGTCAGTGACCCAGTCCCGAATCCGACCGGTGACCCGATTTAGACAGCTCTAATCATACTTCATTTTCATTGGGCTCTGAACTCGTCCAATGTCCTGACCTATTAATTTGCCCGTATTTACTGCTCTGCTTCGACTTTTTAGTTTTTATAGGCACTCATTAATCACTTGAGAAGGCGGCTTCATAAAGCAACAGCTCTGACATACAGTAAAATCGAACAGATAACGGATTCAAAACAGAGTAATTAGAGTTACTTCTGCTTCCTCTCCCCCTCTTATATAACAAGCAAACCATTGCAGCTACCACTGAGAGTCTCCATCTCCCTCTTCTCCCTCCTTCTTCCCGATTCTCATCTCTCCTACAGGAGAAATCCCTAAGCCCTTGATTCCACCCGTCTCGTTCTTCCCATAGCTCGGTTTCTTGCCCCTCCCCTGTTTTCAACCAATTCATTCATTACCATCAAGCAAACACAAGCAGAGTGCACCTCAAGTAAGTGCACCACTTCGGTTTTGTTGTTCCCTATATCGATTCACGAACTGGCTCTGATTCCAGATCTGTAAGAAATCAGAGAAAAGAAGTTTTGAAACGAAGTGATCAAGAATGGAGCCGCTGAAGCAGGCGGAGGAGGCGATCGTTGCAAGCAGGAGCGAAACAGAACTTGTCGCTATGGGGAAAGGCGATGATGAGGAAGGAAGCATCCGGGATGACCAGGCCGTGTTCAATATGAAGAGTATGCTCTGGCATGGGGGCTCAGTCTACGACGCCTGGTTTAGCTGCGCATCAAACCAAGTAAGAGACTGAAACTAGCTATATCTTGATCGATCCGTAATAGTTTTAGGGTTTTTTTTTTGGTTGTTGTTGATGAAACGTTCGACAAAATGCCGATGCAGGTGGCTCAGGTTCTACTTACCCTGCCATACTCGTTCTCCCAGATGGGAATGGCGTCGGGTCTTGTACTTCAGATCTTCTATGGCTTGATGGGTAGCTGGACTGCCTATCTCATCAGCGTGCTGTATCTTGAATATCGAACGCGCAAGGAGAAGGAGAACGTCAGTTTCAAGAATCATGTTATTCAGGTAACTATCAAACATAGGCTCCCTTTCTTCTTTTCCCTTTTTCCCTTCTCAGTTCTCTCCTTCCCTCTTTTCATTACTTCCCCTGCCATTGGGTTTCTCATTTGAAAATTACAGTAACACTATTTTGTGTACTATGTAATTTTTATTTTTGAACTATTTTTGCAATGCAATAGTGGTTTGAGGTGCTGGATGGGCTGCTCGGGCCCTACTGGAAGGCCATCGGTCTTGCTTTCAACTGTACCTTCCTCCTCTTCGGCTCTGTCATCCAGCTTATTGGCTGTGCCAGGTCTCAATCTTTTAATATAAATCTATTTTTTGCTGTAATTTTTAGATAAACATAATGAAAATGTATAAGACATCACGATTTCTTAAACTTACATCTTATTAAACTGTAAAAAATTTCTTTAATGCTGTCCAAACAATATCTCTCGTCCAGAAAAACTATCGGCAATTATTTTGAGTGTCTAAAAGGTCTCATTACAATAGCAAAAGAATACGATTAAGGACCCTTTGCTTAATTTTTTTCCTGACAATTTCTCTACTGGAATTACATCTTATGAATTTAACTCTGATTTATCTCTATTTTGCAGCAACATATATTACATAAATGATCGGTTAGATAAAAGAACATGGACGTACATATTCGGCGCCTGCTGTGCCACAACGGTGTTTATCCCCTCATTCCATAACTACAGAATCTGGTCCTTCCTCGGCCTCGGCATGACCACCTACACCGCCTGGTTCCTCACCATCGCTGCCTTCGTCCATGGCCAAGTTCTGTACCTTCTTTTTATACTAAATTGTCAATTTTGATCTTTATAATTGTTTAAATTACTCCTGATTGTGTGATTGTTACGTATATAATCAAAACTCCAAAAAGGGTTAATAGTTGGAAAGTTTAATTTTTTAATAAATTAGGACTCTACGTTACTAGGTAGATGAGTCATGAGTGATGCTTATTTTTTTTTATCTATTTAAGTTTTTATTTTGATACTAACACAAGTCATGTAGAACAGTAGAAAGGTAGTATAAATAACAAAAACTGATTTATTTTATAAATTTTTTTTTACAGAGTGCTTACCTAATCATTTCGCTGTAATTTCATTTCTTTGATATTTCAATTATTCTATGATAACTTTCTGACTCATATTATTCAAGATTATCTATAAGTTGTCTTCTATAAGTGATTTGACTATCTACAATAATGAGCAAAATAAATAAACAAAATTAAATTTCAAAAATTTTGAAGGAAAATGGGCAGATCATCGAAGTATTATGTGGAAGAATATTCGAACTAGCATATTTTTTTAAAAAAAGTGTCCAGCTTAGCTAGCTATGAATTTCAAAAATTTAACAAAAACTTTTAGGAAAAATGATCAAAAGGGATTCATAAAGTTGATCCCAATGACAGTGACAATCCCTTATTACAAGAATATATTATGATTGAAATAAATTCAAAGCTATTTTAAGTTCTTATACGGTCCTATTTATACAAATGATTAGTATCTTTTATGTACTAAATGTTATACGGAAATATGATTAGAAATATTTGTTTGTGTGGGTTGCGGATGCAGGAGCCCGGAGTTGCCCACAGCGGGCCGAAGAAGATGGTTCTCTACTTCACCGGCGCCACCAACATCCTATACACCTTCGGGGGCCACGCCGTCACCGTGTAAGTGCTCCTCTGCTCCCTACTGTTATTATTATTTTTAGTAGGTGCTGTCCTCTTTTGTATCCGCTTCTTCTGCTGCTTCCATGCCAGCTTTTGTTGGCCGCGTGAGGGAGAGATTATTGGGTTCCAACACCGAACACAGCTTACCGTTCAGTACTTCACAGTACTGACTAATACTGAACTCGGTACTGTGTACCGAGCTCAATACCGAGTAGGGGTGATGTTGCACATTTTCATTGGGCGTCGTCCGGTGTCCAAACCCAATAATTTTCCCCGCTTATTTAAATTAATATTTATGATATTTTTATATGATTTAAAAATTTAGTGTTATGTTAAAAAATATAAACATTTTGATATATTAAATACATATAAATATTTATGCATTATTTTTGTGACATTTATCTAAATCCTCAAAATTCCACCCATTTTCTGCCACAATGTCCCACTCCACTTGGATGAAATTTCCCATTAAAAAAGAAAAAAAAAAAAAGAGAAAAACTTGCACACCCACTTTCTCTTTAGGTGAAATTATTCTGTTGGGACGCTGAATGCCATCTGGAGGCCAAACTGAATACGCCACGTCACCCCCTGCTCGGCATCCGGCTCGGTACCACGGCTCAATACTGCTGATATGGCGCGTTCTAATCGGTCTTCGGACAATGAACTGCGTTCGGCGTCCGTACATAATAATCTTTGTTTAGAGCCCACAATATCATTCAAAGACGAGAATACTTATCCCGTAAAGAAAAATACTATATTACACCGTAGTCCCAAGCGAATTTTGGAGAGAGATAGGGTAGAGAGAAAATTTAATAATTTCATATGATTATATATTATATTCAATTTTAATTTTTATTCAACTCAACTTGCTAATTTTTTTAGATAATGAGTGGATAGTTTAGTATTACTCCAAAAAATTTTGAGAAGAGGTATTTGACTATTTGTGAATTTTTCCTATCATTGATGTCCATGTGACGTATTTGACAATTTTGCTACTGAATTGATATATATGCCTGGGTCCAATTTGCCTCATGGACACTAATTAATAATGTGCGAGCACATTAGCACAGGTTATGTGGATCCTGCTTATGCAGGTGGGTCAATCATCACCATTTAAGAAAAGTTTAGCTTAGTGTCATATTAATAATGGTGGAAACGGCTGATTTAGGTGGAACCCTAGATGTAACTAGGGTTGGTGCGGTGGTGCTGGCCCGCTTTAAATGCTGACCAGCTGTGGGGGCTCAGTTCAAAACTAAATTTAATGGGCCCAAAAACTTTCTTTCCCGCAACAAAGTAAAAGAAAAAGCATCCTTTAAACAAGGATTAATTTCGTGTTCATTATATATTTGAAAGAATCTTTTGAGTGGAGATGAACTTGGATAATGATTACAGGCATGAAAGGCGGAGTTTGGCTTGCTTTCTTGATCACTAGATCATACTTGAGATTAGCTAGCTTTATGGTTTTTTTATTTTTCTTATATGGGATCTCAGTTAGCTTGTAGTTGTTATTGACTGTTAAAATAATATTGCCCGATCATCTCTTCCACTGTCTTGCACTTGCTTGTGAAGTTTCTTACCTTGAACCTTGCTGGCCAGCCTCGATTCTTTTTCTTATTTTAAGAACAAAATGGTACCGAAATTGCACAAAGTTGTCCAAGGTAATAATATTCATACTGGTATGATTCCCTCTTCATGTGGCTCTTCTATTAGAATCAAATTCACAAGTTAGAGTTTTCTATTCTTTGCTTTTTATCTTAAAACTGCATGGAAAAACTTGCACTTTTCTGAAGAATGTTGGAAATTGGCTCCACGCGCTTACTAAGCATGTTCCTAAAGAAGATATTTCCCTCACGAATATGAATACTATCAGACAACTCACCCTCATTTTCAATTAACACTGGGTCAATTTCGTGAATAGGCACATCTTTTGAATTATAACTTGTATATATTTCTTAATTCTAAAAGAGCATAACTACTGATGCTCCTGTACTCACAATTGCTTGCATTTATATAGGAAATTAGCAAAAAAAAAAAAAAAAAAATCAAGCCTGCACTTCATAAGGGTCCAAATCATTTATATAGATCAAGCATCGCTGTCTACGCATGCAAGCGCAAATAATCATGCTTCATTGATTCTTATGATAACCCTAATTTTTTTTTCTCTACTTGATTACAATCGTTCTATGTATACATGCGAAGGACGTTTGCATTCATGAAGTGGGACATAACAGTCACACCTAAATTGTCCTCCATTACAAACTTCACTATCATTTCATGTGTAAAACTGTATGAAATAGTTTGTATCAATATATAATTGTGTAACTATCAGTTGCCAGCATGAATTTCTATTGCTACAGGAGGCTATTCCCATTGATTATTATTTAAATATCAATGCTATCAAAATATTAATATTCTCTATCAAAAAATTTAATGTTTGAGTCAATAGGAACTTTTTCCAAATATTATATGCCTGATTTGGTGTTTAGATTGTATGAAACTTGAATATCATCTAATTTGGACTTCATTTGACATCTTCTAAATAGGATTACAATTAAGTTTTAAAAATAAGTTTCATGAGTTTTGGCTTTGATCCATCATATAATTTTTAGTTGGTTTCATTGTTCAATTTTGTTGGGTGCTAGAATATTTTCAATGATAAGGATAGGGAATTTGTTCTTTTAACTTGGAACAAAATGTCTGCACACAATGAGATTTGTTAATGCAAAATTTTGGCATATCTGAGACATAATCTTTTTATATAAAAATTTTGTAAGGGTAAAAATCATGGTTTATAGTCTGGTTGAAACAGTTCTAGTCATAATTTGATATTATTAAGAACCATAATTGCCCAAAATCAATGCACTTATACAATATAATGGGAGTTGAAATACTAAGAAAGTCTTTCTAGAGGCAATGGAGGGAATCCAAGGATGTCAAAGTTGAGAACTGACATTGGATTATTTTTTACTCCCATTGTGTTTGCTTAGAGACGGTTTAACCGTATGAATCGTTGCCATTTTATTAGCTAACCATATTCTATAGATACGAGAAACCGAGTACTAATACTTTGTGATACGCACAGGGAGATCATGCACGCCATGTGGAAGCCACAAAAGTTCAAATACATCTACTTGCTTGCTACGTTATATGTGTTCACACTCACACTCCCATCAGCGGCAGCCATGTATTGGGCGTTTGGCGATCGGCTGCTCGACCACGCCAACGCCTTCTCGCTTCTGCCCAAAACGGGATGGCGCGATGGGGCTGTGGTTCTGATGTTGATTCACCAGTTCATCACCTTCGGCTTCGCTTGTACGCCACTCTACTTTGTTTGGGAGAAGGTGATAGGCATGCATGATACTAGGAGCATTGCACTTCGCGCCCTTGCTCGCTTACCGGTCGTCATTCCGGTGTGGTTTCTTGCCATCATCTTCCCATTCTTTGGCCCCATCAACTCTGCTGTTGGAGCGTTACTTGTCAGTTTTACTGTCTATATCATCCCTTGCCTAGCTCACATGATCACCTATCGCCATGCTTCTTCTCGCAAGGTATGCAATATTCTCCTTCTTTTGCACATTCTAATCATCTTTTTTTGTCATTTAAAAAAAAAAGAAAATTTAAACCTATCCAATCACATTCTCATTGTAAAGATATTGTAAGAGGAATTCCTTAATTGAATTTTGTGTAAGGATGGATGCCATTGTTAAAAAAAAGAGAGAAGAGAACTATTTTGATTCTCTTTTGAAGACTTGAATGAACAAAATAGTCTTTTAATGTAGTTGGCGGTCATTTTGATCATTCATAAAGAGTAATATACCCTTTTCTAAAAAAAAGGAGAGATTTTACATAATTGAATTTATAAAGACATCAAAACTAATCTTTAAGTTATATAAAAATTCATATATTCATTTATTTTGTCAATGAACCCATCTGAGTTTTACATAATGTAATCTCAATATTTCCCCCAAATAAGCTTGTAAATCACAATTATCATACTATTCAAATAGGTGAATCACTAACTTTTGTATATAGAAGACTTGACAACGGCTGCTACATAGCTTGTGATGTAATATTTATATAAATTAATAAAGTTTTAATCTTGTTTGGAGATTGAAGCATTATTAAAGATAGAAATTAACATATTTCCGTCGGCATATGCCGTTTCTTTGTGTCACCGTGCACCAAATGTTACAGCTAGCAGAGATTTATGTGAAAAACCTATATAGATAAAGTCACTAACAGGACCAGAACTTTTCTCTTGGAAGTTCATCCGTATCGCCTACTATCACACTGCCCTTTTCTGAAGGATTACCAAGCGCATTTATGACCTTTGCCCTACCTCGGATGGAAGCTTTCCACCAACCTTATAATTCCTTTTTATTTAGCATAGTAACGTAAGCCCACTCCATGTTAAAATGTCTAGTGGAAATTACCTCTAGCCAAACTTAACGGTAGCTAAGATTAAGGCTTAGTTTGGGACGGTTTTTTTACTGCTGCTTAAAGCTGCTTTCTAGTACAAAAATTGTACTAAAAAGCCGCTCTAAGAAGTGGTAAGAAAACCGTCCCAAACGAAGCCTTATTCTATCATAGTCAATCTTCCATGAAGTTTCACTATTTCTTTGATTCCAAACAGTGATTTTATGCTCTTACATTTTGTGATTCTAATTTATTTGATTTTTTTTCTTGCAGAATGCAGCAGATAAGCCGCCGTTCTTCCTGCCGAGCTGGACCGGGATGTATGCGGTTAATCTATTTGTGGTGGTGTGGGTGTTGGTGGTTGGGTTTGGGTTTGGTGGCTGGGCTAGCATCACTAACTTCATCAGACAGATAGACTCTTTCGGTCTATTCGCCAAGTGTTATCAATGCACAAAGCCGCCCACCTCTACGCCGCCATCGCCTAGCCACCACTGATCGCCATCTTCTAATGACCATTTCTTCGAACACGGGTGGCCCTGTTGACCTCACAGGATCAGCCTCTCTGAGCCACAATTTGTGCTACTGAGTGTGAATTATAAAGTTTAGATTGTCTATTGGGTGATTGTGTATGAAATCATGCTTGGTTTGCCAATATGTAATGTTCTTTAATATTAAAGCGAAATGATCAAAGAAGCATTGAATCTGTTGATTCTGTAGTCTCTTCATTTCTTTAAGGCATTGACATGTTACCTCGTAGTACTTGATGCTTTGTAATTCAATAAAGCAAATGATGAATAGGTTCTCTTGATGGCGTGGGTCATTATTACAGTCGCATTCGTATGCCTTTGGATAAAAGCAAGGGTTTGGCTGTCTGCGCGCAGGTGCAACCGAGCCGGCAAATTTTGCAGAAGCATTGCTTGTTCTCTGTTGATTTAGAATGGATTCAATGCAAGAAGAGCGCCAATTTTATGATTTAAACCTTAAATAGCTCTAAGTAGGGGTGTAAGTAAGTCAAGCCGAATAGTGAGCCAACTCGGACTCAACTCGATAAATGGATCATGAGCCGAGCTCAATGAGCTAACGAGCCAAATTTGAGCCCGACTCGACTTGACTCAGCTCAAGTTAATGGTGACTTGAGCTCGACTTGACTCATTTACCTCTATCTATAAGTGTGTGGAATTGGGATGAATTATTCTGTGCGGATGCCAAACGCCGTCCAGAGCCCAATGAAAATGCGTCACGTCAACCCGTACTTGGTATTGCTCGTATTTGATGACATGGCAGCACCTGATTGACCTCTAGACGGTAAGCTGTGTCCAGTGTCCACACAGAATAATCTCTCTCTCTCTCTCTCTCTCTCTCTCTCTCTCTCTCTCACACACACACACATGGGCGGATCCACCCTAGTCTTAGGGTGGGCAAATGCCCACCCTCAAAAATTTTTTTTTTTAATATTTATAGGAGATTTTTTGGAATATTTTGAGTATTTTAGGCATTTTGCCCCCCCCCCTCAAAAATTTTTTTTGTCCTAATTTTATCAATCCTAGGCATTTTTGTCCATCCCCACAAAAAAAATTTTTTTTTGCCCACCCTGAAAAAAGAAGCTGGATCCGCCCCTGCACACACACACACACACCCAAATCTTCTTCTCTTCACTCTCACTTCACATGGGCTGCACGTTGCTAAAAAATCCTTGCGTCCACTAACACAGCTTGGTTTTTCCATTCGGTGAGAATCCTCTGCATGTTGCGTACAGAGAGCGGCCACATGAATCAAGCAATTATAAAATCCAAAGAGTTATCCTTCTTTGTTTTTCTATTTGGCTGAAATGGTGTCCAATCTATCTTCTCCTCTCATCTCTTTACTTTAAAGGCTCTCACATGTCTTCTAGTTGCCCATTTCTTGGCTGTCTGTACTCCCAATATCTTGCTAGCTCTTATTACGTTCCATTTCTGATTATGGCAAAAGCTAATTGGTCAGATTTAAGCTTTAAAGAACCTTTGATGTTTCTATCCATTAAAGATACTAAAGATCACATGCATAATATCAATCCATTAGTTTAGTGCTGCTATCTTTTAACAGAAACGGCAACCACCATAGCTTATAATAATGATAATAAAGTGTATGTTAATGCAAGGTAGCATGTATGAGAAGGTTTCTTGTTATTTTTTATGCCTGAGGAAGAATTCTTGTACGCATTTTACTATTAATATGTTTTTTTGTTCTTGTACAAAATTCGAATATCAATATTCCTCAAAAGTTATATTATCCCTTCAATTATTTGCTTGAGTGGAATTTCAAAAGGTTTAAATATGTTGATATTCCAACACTATATAGTGATTACTTGACCCCTTATCACAATCTTTTTTATTATTATTGTTATAATATGTTAGAGCGTATAATATTGATGGTGCATCATCATACAATGGTGAAGAGATCGAGTGTTATACTGTTATTACATGCAAATAGATGATTGGTGGCGAGGCTATTATAAATTATCAAAAGTTGAGGTTAGATGATCACATGCAAATAGATTATTTGTGCCGGTTTGTGCTGACCCGGTGCGTGAATATTGCTAATGAAGGATTTAAGATCCTGGATGCCGTTACATAGCTCCTTTGAGAGGCGTATGAAGTCCACCCTCAGTTCATTTAGTTGTCGAGTGACGCTAGCTTGCACTGTCCACATGACATCGAAACTTAAAATCTTAATTGCTTCTTTTTGTGATCAAGTTTTAAACTACACATAAATGAATTGGGTGCAATTATTCTACTTATGACCCATAAAGTAAAGAGTTGCTAGTTTCATGTTGAATATGATTATGTTGTATTATTGTTTTAGACCTCAATATCATCAATTCAACTCAGTAGGGGGTTGCAGGCAGTAATGCTCCTCCTGCTTGTTTATTTTTAATATAGTTGTACAACATTGCATCATTGTATCCATTAATGTTGTGGCACCTAAGGCACTGTAGGGTAGACTCTGAGATAAAAAGTGGAGCGCTGCAACACTCCAAACCTTGGTGATACAATTTGAGTCCACGCCAAACAAAATAATTCCTGAAGTGATTTGAAACCAATTTTTTTATCTCCTTTGGTGCAAAAACTTCATCTTAACTTCCCCAGTATGTTATCGTATAGCCAACATGAGGGGTGTTTTGACATACTAGGAAGAAATAAATACTAAGTATTTAGTTTTGGGTTGAATAAACACTTGATATATGTCATGCCACACCACCCCTAATGATGATGACAAGCTAAATGGTGGCCCAAATCTTCAAGATAAATAAATAATAAAAATTTGAATTATATAGTCAAATTCATACCAATAATTATGAGGTCAATAATTATCATGATCTAAATTAATTAGCTTGTCAGATTTTTATCAAAAGTCTACATATTAGTATCAATAGGATGTACTTTATCAAAATTAATCAATCTATCTATATAAATCTCAATATGATGGAGCTATGTAAATCTCTATATTTTTCATTAAACATTTACAAACAATCATAATCTATTTGTTAAGTGTAATATCAGTATGCCCCCCTTCTTAGTGCTTAATGATACACAAAGGTTGACAAACACAAATCTTTGGATAACAAATAGAAAATAACATGGACCTAACTCCATTGACCAAATTGGATTGCTTTAATCTATTGATGATTATCAGATCACACATTAGTTTCCATGAGAGCAAATTTCAAAGAAAATCTTCTTTTTTGAAGAAATCTCCAATTGTGCTCATAGGCTACTTTCAGTCACATCCAACATGAAAGAATTGATGGGTATGCTCTTCCATTATGAACTGTTCCCATAATGCAGCCCATTTTCATTTAATGGTTGAAAGCTTAGGCTTCATTTGTGATCGCTTTTCTTAAAATAATGTTTTAGTACAAAATTTACTAAAAAGCTTCTTTATGAAGCATTAAGAAAGCCGTCCCAAACAAAATATTAGAACCAGAAGGCAGTGGCTGAACCACGTTTTTTATAAGAGAGAAATTGCCCCTCCTAAAAAATTATCTTTCCCCCCCCTAAAAAATTGTTTTGTCCTAAAATGTCTATATATTTCTTCAAATTTTGTTATAATATTTTCTTTTGTCTGTTTCATGACAATTTAATTACACTTTTTTTCTTTATTTTTTTATACTTGATATTCTAAATTCTAATATATTTTAAGTATATTTTATATTAATATTATTTAAAAGAGTCAACTCGTGAGCTAATGGTCGAGTCAAGGTTAGCTCATTGAGCTCATCTCATGAGTCAATTATCAAGCAGAGCTCAATCCAACTCGCGAGTTAACTTAACTCACTTACATCGGGATGGAGCCTCTGTCAAAATTTTTATACTTTTGTGATTTTAAAATGATCATTTTGCATGGCTTTTATAAATGGTAAAAAGAAAAGGCACACAAAATAATTCAGACAAAATTTGGATAATTTTTTAGGTAGAAAAATACAGTTCAATTTCTGAAGAAGAAACCCCTAAACCCTGAAGAATCAGCATAACCAATCGGTGGAATCTTCAGTCAAAAAAAAGTTGATGATAAAGACGACAGATTTGAGAAAAGAGTAACAGAGAATTAAAGGGATTAGACATACTCTTCAGAATTTCATTCTTCCAGATCCAATAAATAGGAATAAGAACTTGACTTGGCTGGAGAGCCTCATCATAGACCAGATCGAATAAGAAAACTGAAGAGAGATGCCTGAAGTAAGTGAAATTATTACGTGCGGTCATCGGACGTCATCCGGAGGCAACTCAGGACGCGCCATGTCACTTTTTCGTTGTGTATTGATACTATGTATCGCTGTGTACCGAGTGATTTGGCGCATCCATATTCATCTCCGGATGGTCTGGTGACCACATGTAATAATTTCTCTTGAAGTGATGAATACACTAAAGATTAGTCTATGTTAGTAAGTAGAGGTATATATGGTGTAAACCGAGTTGAGCTCGTGTTTTCTCTGTTTTAGGCTTGAGATTGATTGAATTGATTGAGCTGAAGCTCAAGTTCTTGAGCTTGGTTGGGTCAAACTAGTTCATTTTCTTGGGAAAGAGAGATGACGGAGGAGAATTTGAGGAGCGATTACAATGAAAGGAAGTGAAGAAAGAAAGAGAATTTCTGGAGAGAAAATTGATGACTAGAACTTGAAGGTATATATTTTTTCTTTTATAATTTTGTAGACAAAACTTCATCTGTTCATCATAATCAATGCCGAGAAGATCAACAATGTTATTTTTAGTCGCCCTCGATCATTTCAGAAATTGAAAGAAGGATATATGAGCCATTACCATGCGAGAAAATTTGTTGCAATAAGTGCTTGTTATTTGGAAGTTGAGGGAAATGTCTAGGAAGAGGTGTTGCAGCTGTTAGAAAACTTTTCCCAGTTATGGAGAAGGCTATTGATAGACAGCTTTTCCCTTACTTTTAAGTGCTTTCAAATAATTTATGCTCACACATGTGGTTCCATATTACAAATTAACAAATGAAACAATGAGGCCTTGTTAGAAGGATTAATTGTGTTTTAAGCTAGAAGTTGGGGCCAAGCGTTTGTTTATCTTTTTTAATTCTCATCTTATTATAATTCCGGTGAATGGAGACTATAAAGAAACATGAAAAAACTTTGCAATGGTATTTGTTGGAAGACAAAACTGGATAAGCATTTTTGAGTAATTCAAATAAAATAAATTACAAAAAAATATAACCAGTTTGCTGAGTTACTCCAAAATAAAAAATAATTACAAATAAATCTAATAGAAGAAGCAAAGAAAAGTTGGAAGAAGTTGCTGTAAGATGGGTAGATTCATTCATTAAGCGCTATTTGGTTTGAAGTTAAAATGGTGTGAAGTATTTCAAATGGATGGATTTTAAGAATATTGACGTTTGGTTTTAAGCAAAATAAATAGAGTGTAAAATATTTGTGCATTTAGAATTCACCCTCTAATTTATTTGGATGTATTTGAAATTTCTCAGATTTGGACAAATTCCAAATACACCATAGATTCATCGTCTTTGTCGGAGTCAACCACTACCAGCTTCTGCTGTTGTTGAGCACCACCGACCATGTCTGCCACAACCGACCGTCGACCATAGCCACCGTCAGTCGCCACCGCCTTGATAGTATGTGTGGAATTTAATTGTGTCGATCAATCGGGTTGTACTATTATCTCAGACCTCAGTTCAATTTCTCATGCTCACTAAGAAGGTGTGGGGTCCTCTAAGTTCGATACTGCAGCACTATCAGCTCTAAATGCCGTACTTCACTTTCCTTCGAGCTCTCATGCGATGCCCTAGTATATTTTTCTCTAGACTCTTTCGTGAATCACAACTTATGTTGTATGTGGCAGAGCTTATGTCTATTTTTAAATTTAATTATTAGTTTGAATAAAGTTCAATAAATATTAATAGAGTTTAATTATTAATATTTACAAAATGCACTTACAGCATGGGCATGCAATGGGGCTTATATCTTTTGGCGGGATATAAAAGCATACCATCTTGTTCCATTTTATTTATATATGGAACATTCAAAATTAAACTTTAATATTACATACATACCACTCATAAATCAATTTCATATCAAATATGGGCAGTAGAAATATAATGTAAGGGGTGATAGGATTAAAATATGTGTGACATATTTGATATTAAAGTAATATAGTGGTATATATATAATATTAAAGTTTTATGTATTAGATATGCAAATATGATAATATAGTGTGGTATGCATGTAAATCCCCTTTTTTAATTTGTTTATATTATGAGATATTAAAAATATATATATCATTGAGATAAATTTTAATATCATTTATATTATATTGAGATTTGTATAATATATGCTATTAAAATGATGCTCTTAGTTCAACATAAATTAAATAAAGGGCATTTAACTTAATAAATTTTAGAAAATACAACCTTGGGACACGTGGCAACCTCGCCGCCCTGAACTCTCACTCCCTTGGAACCGCTAAAACCACACGAAGCGGCGCTCACGGCCTGCGTTTCAACTCTGCTCTCTTTTTCCCGTCAAGAATCAACGGAAACAGTAACAACGGTGATTTGAGAGATGGATTCACTCATGAGCCATTTCTCCGCATACTTACCGGCACCGATGAGCCGCGGCTGCTCTTCTTCGTTATCTCAGCGGCGCCCTCTCGCACTCTCGAGTTTCTCCTTGTTTCAATTCATCCCATTTCACCGAGAGATCGACTGCTCAGCCTCGCCGTTGGTTTCCTTGGAGAAGAAGTTGTTCCTGCTGCCGTCCTGGGTTCCCAAGGCAAGAAGCCATCTTCGTTTTCGCCTCTTGTTTCAATTTGTAATATGAGCTTTCTTTCTAGGATTTTGGCATTCTACAGTGGTTTATTGAAGCTTTCTCTGGTTTCGATTCCTTCTTCTGCGCCTTTATTTTTAATTGAATCCTTACCAAATAAAGAATGCTCCTCCACTAAGGGTTTAGATTTAAGAAGCAGCTTCATTAGCATTTAGATCCTTGTAGGTTTTCTGTCTTTTATGAGACGGCATTTACACAAAGCACCCCACAGGATTGACCAGAAAAGGAGAGTGCTTAAATATGATATCTAATAGGTTTGGCGAAAGATGATGAACGGATGGAAATTTTGTTCTACTATTACATCAGGGATGCTTATTTTTCTATAAAATAGGACAAAACGAAATAGCATATAGGAAAAGGTATGTTTTATGTTAGTTTTTATGCTAAATTTCTGCCTTCTTGTACTCCATATCAAAATTTTTAGTTCAAGTTTAGATAACTATTGAGATTGAGAGACTTGTTGAATGCTAGAAGTTGTGTTGGTAGAGAGATAGCATGAGTAATGTTGTCTATAATCTTGGCTGCAAATGTAACTCACACACGATAAAAGAAATAAATAAAATGGGCAGAGAAAACATGTTTTTAATGCAGCAAATTCGAAAAGGAAAAAAATTGTTGGGCTTTGCACGATTGAAACAACTTAAACTAATAGTATGGCCACAATGGGTTGCACTTCCATAAACCAGTGGAATTATTACACGAGAAAAAATGAGATGTTATTAGTATCCTTAGTATTGGTGATGCAATGAGACGAGTACGAGCATTCCTCTGAGAGACAAACGATGAAGAAAACCACGATGGATGGCCGGGAAGACCCTCCTTGAGATGTAGATGATTTGACTTGAATGACATAACCAAGGCAACACAAGGTCATATTGGCCATTAAAATTGGTTGAATGAGTCCTTTCTTAGAGGTGGAGATGGCATGAATTGAAAGCAATTTCAGGACAATTCAAGAAGGTAATGGAGGCCACCAAAGATGACTAAATTGGTTTTTCTCTAGATTTGGTGATGAAGTGATTCTAGAGGTTATTTCATGGATAACGACAAAGGGCAGTTGGGACAGTATGTCTCTTTGAGGAAAGGGAGATTGGATGATGTCAATTGGAGACTAAAGGTGATTGGAGTAGTCCCTCCGATGAGATAAGAGGGGATTGTATGACTCGATGTCAAAGGGCAATAAATTGAGGGGGTGGATTAGAGATAGAGTACTTCTATAGGCAATCGAGACAATCATCTTGATCATTGGAGGTCAATTGGATAATCAATAATGAATGGTGAGGGGAGAATCCAAGATCATTAAAATGGTCAAGAGTACTTCGATAGGCATTCCTCCACTTCAACCATCCAACTTGAATTCTACTAATAATATCCCATTTATTTCACCATCACTCTGAGCAAAAGACCTAAGATATCTAAAACATGTATTCTTATTAATAACTTGATCACCCAAAGTCACAATCCCCCCCCCCCCAATTCAACTCCCTCTCTAGTCTTATCAACAAGAAGAATATCATTAGCAAAAAGCATACACCAAGGTACAACCTTTTGCAAATGTCTAGTGAGGACATCCATGATTAAAGCAAAAAGATATGGGCTTAAGATTGATCCTTGATTTAATCCAATTGAAATAGGAAAATACTTAAGGCTGATCCTTGATGTAATCCAATTTTCATAGTGGATTTCTTGGTGTGGTGTAGCTTCGTGATTTTATTTTTCCTATTTTGGGTTTTTTCACGTTTAATTCTTGTGTACTTTATTTTTCCGCTATTTTTCTTTCTTGCTTGTTTCGTCATTGTGGTGTTATACTCGTCCTCAACACCATCAAGAGGGGATTGGTTGAATGACCCAAAGTTGATGATGTAGGGAGCATTCAAAAAGAAATCTCAAATAATGAAGGGTGATGCCACCCCTGGGCCAATCTGATCGCCTCACCTGGGCAAAGCTTAGGTAGGCTATTGATCGATGGCTAACAATAATGGTGCGGTGATACCGTGATAGTCATGATAGATGAAGTCTTTGATCAAAATGTATATTTTTGAAGTTCTCAGTTTCATGAATCTAATCAAGCTGACAAGTAAAAAATTTGAAAACTTTGACTAATTGAAATTATTTCAAGAAGATCCATAGATGAAAAATAAATCACTAGAATATGATGGTGGTATATAACCATTTTTTTATTTGAAATGTTCATCTCCTTGAGAGTTATACAATACCACAAATGGCTCATTAAATGGGAGCTTTTAGAGTTTACAGGAACTCCAGAAAGTTTAGCACTACTCAATTTAATTGCATGAAAAAGTGTGCATCTTTCCTCTTTCGAATATTATAGATGTGTTGTTCATGGAGAGAACTTTCTCGAGGCCAATCTAGCATTCCCTTGGCCGACCAACGAGGTGATTAAAACATGACAACTATTCATGTGCACATGTCCTATATGCAAACAAGAATGAGATATTTTGGGTCAATTTAGCTTGGACCGGTTTGACCCCTAAATACCCTCATATTCTGACAATTTTGGTGTTGTTGAAATCATCTTAATGGGATGAATAACTATAAATTTTTGTTTGTTTGGACTTTGGAGTTTATTTTGTTACAAAATTCTTGAAGCAATTAGTTCAATTTCTTAAGAAGTTATATTACCAAGTATTATGAGAATTGATTTGATGCATCTCAAAAGAAGAATGTGTGCACTAAAGGTATATCTAGGTATTAAATAAATGGATTACGAAGCCTTTAATTATCGTTAGTTATTGTATAATGATCACAGATATCTAAATTTAATATAATTATATCAAGGTTCAGAATTAGTTTGCTATTTTTTTTTTGTATTAGCTAAGAAGATTCTGAGGAAGTGAGTAACATCTATTGATAGAAATGATAGATTAATAAATGATTAGGTTAAAAAGGATGGAGGGAGTAACATCTATTGAATATAAATTTGCTGAAAATGGACTTGCGTGGTTTGGGCATGTATGCATGTTAGAAGGTGCACCATTGTGGAAGATTAATAATGATGAGCAGATGATGATGATCCCTGTAACTTTCTTGACCGTTCACTTTTAAAAAAAAGTACTTTGACCACATTTACTTCTTCTTTTTTTATTTACAAATTAAATGCATAGGTGATACAAACAATCTACTAACTTTCTAATTTTATGAAACCATTGTGAATAATTACAGAAGGATCCTTTGATGCAATGCTTTCATTAAATTTTCAGTTAGAGTATTTTGATTCATAGACCTTAAGGCAATATTGCTGATTTCCTAATATCCATCTCTACAGGCCGCCATAGAATCTGCTTATTCTGGTGAGATCAAACACTGTAAGTAATTATATCATGTAAGTACGTGTTTCTTCATTCTGTTGTTAGTTGTGGTCTAAGATCTAGCATTTCACGTCGCTTCTCAGATCAATCCAAAACGGCACATATCAAGTTCATTTTGCAGAAAGCATGCCAATTTGGTGAGCAATATCTTCTAGTTGGAGACGACCCCTTGTTTGGTTCATGGGATCCAACAAATGCAGTTCCTTTGGATTGGTCTGATGGCCATGCCTGGACAGCCGAACTGGTGAGGGCGAGCAAATTTTTTTTCTGTAAACATTTATAATTTCGTCATCTTTGTTGTCATCAGAAATAACCCTTAATAGAGGCCTGCTTTATAAATCCTCATTTTAAATTCCTTTTCCTTTGAGTGATATATCAGTTATTAACTCTTCTGCTTAATTTTTTTTTGTTTCTATCTCCCTATTCAAATGTTTCCTAATCTATATAGCGTAGTAGATCTACCTGTATTTATATAACATTTATTTTTAAGTTTTCATTATATTTTTTATTAGATAATACTCTTGAGATAGCTCCAGTGGCAGATAAGATTAGAGAGAGTTGTCTTAGATGGTTTGGTCGCATAAAATGGCGGCCTTCTAATGACCTAATTAGGAGGTTAGATGTATTAGATTTGGTTTATGTTAAGCAAGGTAGAGTTAGACCTAAAAAGAGTTGGTTAGAAGATATTAGAAATGATATTTTTTTATTAAATTTAAATGATAATTTGACTCTTAATAGGACAATGTAGAAAAAAAAGATTCATGTAGCCAACCTCATGTAATGGGATAAAGACTTGATGTTGTAATTGTTGTTGTTGTTTAACACTCTTGAGATACTTCTCAAAACAAGATGCAAATATAAAAAATAAATAAGTAATTTAAGGAAATAATTAATCTGATAATCATTCTACTAAAATCTTCGTTTTGCTAACTAGGATCTACCTGTTGGAAAGATTATCCAGTTCAAATTTATACTCAGAAGTTTATTAGGACATATCATTTGGCAACCTGGCCCTGACCGGAGGTTGGAGGTGTGGGAGACTGGAAAGACCATCATTATTTGGGACAACTGGGAGGATCCGCAGAAGCTGACAATAACGGAAGAGGAGATCACATTTTCTCCAGAAGTGATCTCCTCAGAAAGCAACACTGCACCTCATGAGCAAACTGTGAATGACTTGAACAAGGTGGAAGAAGGGATCTCCACAGAAAACAAAACTGGAATCCATGACAAAGCTGCAAATGACTTGAACAAGGAAGAAGAAAGAGTCACCACTGAAAGCAAAACTGGCAGCCATGTCAAAGCTGCAAATGACTTGAATAAGGAAGAAGAAAGGGTCACCACTGAAAGCAAAACTGGCAGCCATGTTAAAGCTGCAAATGACTTGAACAAGGAAGAAGAAAGGGTCACCACTGAAAGCAAAACTGGCATTCATGTCAAAGCTGCAAATGACTTGAACCAGGATATTCTTGACGAGAATCTGAGCATGCATAGTGAAGAGAAGTCGAAGAGTCTTGAAGGTCCTGTTCTGGTGCCTGGTTTGACATATAACAATGAATCCGGGTCAGGAAAAGGCGGCGACTACAACCCACTGCAGGTATATATTTGAAGAGTCGAGCCTGTCCTTTTAAAATTTAATGCTTTTAATGTGTGTGGTGATCATGTCGCTTTGCCAACCTACTGATGGGGACTAGCTCAAGTGGAACTCACTTAACAGTTGAATTGATCCAGGGGAAAAAAATTTTCTGTTGCTATTTCCTAATAAATTTGATGTATAATTTCATTCCCTGGATTCATTCCCTTGAGTTCTGTTTTTACGAAGTAGAAAGCTTAGAATTCATAAGGATCGCATAGCCGTTGATATAAAGTGTCAGTGTGATAATGCAAAGTAATCTTACTTGAACTAAAAATGGGTAATTATCCTTAGCTTTGCTTCTAAGCTATACATCTTGGTAAATTAATTCTATATGTATACAGATTCAATACAGATCTTAACAGCTTCTTCCTTGTTCTTCTTTCTTCGTGGAAAAGCATGGAGAGCTGGATCTGTCAAGAGGAAGCCTGCTAGAAAAAGAAACCATGAGTTCATTAGAAAAACAACATGGTGATGGTGGCAATGATGATGATGATGATGAAATGGCAAAATCTGATGATGTTCTGCCTGAAGAAAATAATCCAGAAAAACTGTCCAAACCACCATCAACAAATAGCATTTTAGTTTTCGACTACATGTGGATTCAGAAGTTCATTTCAGGTCTGGGTTTTGGCACCAAACCACCTCGTGAGTGAAAGTTGCTTTGTTCAAATGTATAGACTATAAGCTTGTTTTTTTAGTACATGAGATCTCAAGGTTTCAAACCTTTTTGGTAGCATTTATGCAACATAAACATGTACACTGGTAATCTCCTGCATTCTTTGTATATTAGCCAATTTGATGTTTATGTTGAATGCTTGGCAAGGCGTTCTTTGATAAATTAAACTAGCTCATGCATTGTTATGGATACAATTTAGCAAGCTTCTATTCTGATAATACTAAGGCTTTGTTTGAGATAGTTTTTTTATTATTTTCTAAAGTAATTTTTTAGTATAAAACTTTTTAGTTTAAAAAAAAATTTATATTAAAATATTGCTTTAAGAAACAGTAAAAAAAACATCCCAAATGAAGCATAAACTGTTGCATAATGCCATAAATATAATGTTCTTTGTTGTGCTCAAAGTAAAATGCTTCTATTTTGTGAGTTTCTAAAGTACAATAACAACAACATTAAGTTTTTGTCCCACTACGTGGGGTTGGTTACATGAATCTTTTTTCTCCATTGTATTTTATTAAAAGTCAAATTTTCGTTTAAATCTAATAAAGAAAGACCATTTCTAATATTTTGTGAGTTTCTAAGTATTATTATTATTATTAATTAAAACATGTATAATTGTGATATGAATGGAAAATGAATATCCTGGCTATCATTTGTAATCCCAGAATTTCTCAAAAAAAAAAGAATACAGCAATAACAATAAGCTTTTATCCAACTCCATGGAAAAAAAAAATGTAAAAGAAAAATTTTAATGCATATTTATATAATTAATTGGTATCTTCTAAAGGAAATTATTATCCAATTACTTGTTTCATGAATTATTATAATGCTAAGATAAATGTTTTGTTTGGATCGATTTTTTTATTATTTCTTTTTTAATGCAAATTTTTAAAATTCTAACTAAAAAAAATTGTTTTAAAAAAATAATAAGAAAGCTATATCAAAAGGAGCTAAAGTCACCACAGACTTCTTGATAACTACTGAATAGCTTGATCGCACTCTTAAAAAATGCTGCAGTTTAGCCAACCACAGTAACCAGAGAGACGCGAACATATGCATACTCTAATAAAGATCTCATAAAACTATTCAATATTTGAATAAATATGTAATTGATTTATGCTCTATTTATAATTAATAATTATTTAAATTATATTTCTATTTAAATACAAACAACTTGGCTAATTTTTGTAAGAAAAAAAGCCAATATTTCATTATGGTATTTACAACCAATATAGAATCTTAAATTTTAGAGATTTTGCTTTATTTAGCTTTGATGTAGCTCTTACTTGTCATCTGTGTATGTATAACATATGCTTTAATTTAAATTATCATTTTAATGGGAACATTAATGATAAAGATGAGTATAGTGAATGGATATGATGTATTTATATGAATATTTTTTTTGAGAAAATTTAGATGTCTACTTATTTTGTCATATGTGCTCTAATTTATCTGTAGTTATCAAAGGCCAATATAAGCTCATAAAGGTTTGTTCATAGATTTAACTAAAATTTTAAATAGTATTGCCTTTAATTTCTAAGATCTTGGTTCAAATTACATCAAATAAGCATCAATTGAGTACCCAAAATAATAAAATATATCTGCAACTCTTTCAAGAAGCAAATTCAAAGAAATTGCTACCATTTAGTTCAAGTTAAATAAAGTGTAAGAGATGATATGTTGAGGGAAAATTTGATCTCAACTAACATAATATTATAATTAACTCAATTATTTTAACATGTCACCTATAATACTTTCTTTTTGTTATCGCTACGATGGATATGAAAACAAATGCATACAACTCTCCTTAGCCTACTAGTGGTGAACTTAGGGTTCCAAGAAAGAGATTTTGGTTTGAAGCTTGTATACGTGGTGTCTATGAGTTTATGATTTAATTCACAACTTACGATTTAAGTTCCAATATGTTCCTCAGGAGCAATGCTAGGGTTGAATGCTATTGTCCCTTAGGATAAGAATGCTTCTCCAAGTACCTCATATGTAAAAGCTAAGTTTAATTATTCATTATTAGGATGATAAGAATCATGATATATTATTATTATTTATAAATATAGTTTATATAAAAATATATATATTATAAATTTAAAATATGTGAGAAATTCATTTTTATGCAAGGATATAATTTTCAATCTAGATGATGATGTTAAATTTAGAGAGTTTGAGAGAGAAAAGGCTTATTTTTATCAAACAAAACTATCCCTATTTATAGATCTATATAAGATGTCTTAATAAAGAAGCAAATAACTATAGAATTATACATAATTGCCTTAATATTATCCTTCCTAAATCAGCCATCCAAATATAGAAGGAGATCGGCACGATCCAGGTGAGCCTTCCACGGATTCCCATGCTGGTCATGGGATCAAGGGCAAGGGGATGGCTGAGATTTAACAGTGTGATCCATGTGAGCCTCCCATAGATCACTATGTTTTCGTGGGATCAAGGGCCAAGGGACAGTTGGGATTTTAACACTCCCTCAAGCTGTGGAATACAGATATGATATTCCCAACTTAATAATTAATCCCAAAAAAGTAGAGTTATCAAGTCCCTTGGTGCACCATAGAGTTCTCCATTTGGTCAAAAGTTTGAGAGAAATTAGCTTCAGATATTGCGGTGGCGAAGGGTAGCAATGAAGGAAGCAGGATAGTAATGAAAGCTGCATTGGTTATAGATAGGATAGCAACCACTAGGGAAGGCCGATAATTAAGGTATGTTATATGAAAAATCTATTTTTAGGGTTGCGGCAACCTTCAAGGATAATGATAGAAAATTATGTCTCAAACGGATCAGCACTTGGCATGCAAATCTCCTCCTGTCTGATCAAACCAGCCTTCAACCTTATTCAAATTAGTCGTCCAACTACACCTGAACACTCCTATTCGATAGACCCCATACATGTGCACGCAAGGCCTATGATCCCTCTGATATGATCGCAGGAAGGAGTGTAGGTCTTTCACTCTTGCTTGTACGTGCCCTAGACCTTCACGAGAGTCGACTCTGGATGCACTTGAGAGGAGCTGTCATGACCCGACCCGATCCGGGACGGATCCCGCTCGCACCGGGCCGCGACAAAAACTTTTTATCCAGGATCTGGCTTTGGAATTTGGTTACTGAACTGAATCTTCCAAATTAATCAACTCAACAGACACACAAACACAGAGCCACTATGAATCATCAAACACAGCGGAACAAAACATCTATATTTTCATTTTCCTCAAAACAATCATCTACAGATACAGTACATG